CGGGTGACTGGACATCCATGGGGATTACCACCGAGATGGAAAAGGACACAAAATGAAGAACGATGTAAAAATAAATACATAAATAAATCTTTAGAACGCATTGAAAAAAAGAACTGTCTCCCAAATCTCAAGTAAACTTTATTAACTGCAAATCAGTAAGGCTACAGTAGCACTAACTTATGAGAAATAGAGGAGTTGATGCACTTCGTAGCGAACTAAGAAGATGGCAAGCTCCAGAGCTTGGTGCGAGGATGCGAAGATTGGATTTACTAGGTCAAACTGGAAACCAGGAAGCACAGCGCCCCTAAAAGAACAGGCGCCCAACCAATCCTCAGCAAGGTCCTAAAGGCCAGGTTTTTGCCACGCCTCCCCACTAACAGAACAAGTACCTGAGGCCTGGCCAGCGCCCAAGTCCTCACACTGACAAGCAGCAAAGACGAGCTGCGAGCCCCGACACCCTCCGAGTCCCACCGAGTCGCCACAGCCCTCTCAGGGCTCTGTGTTCCGCCTCACCAGTGAGAGCGCCCGCGCCGGGGTCCGACTGCGCCATGCCCCGGCCCCCCCCCCCGCTTTCATTCCCTTTCTTAAACTTATATCAGTAAATGTTCCAATTCCACTTACATATCATTGAGAACAAGTATTACATAATCATACAGAATCTAACTGCTCTGTATAAAAGATTAGAAATTCTTGACAGTCCTATGGTCAAAAGCTGACCATCTTCATCTTTCCTAACTTTAACCTTTTTGTTTCTGTTTCAATGTCCACAGTTTTGTAAAGATCACTAGTATAGAGAGTGGCATCTGAAAATGCCAATACACTCCAGTAAAATGACCACGGTTTCTATTCAATATGTATAGAATAGTAAGTAAGTACTTTAACCTCTAATAAAAAGCGAATGCCATAAATGTTTGTACCTGTGCAGTATGTTAAAATTCACTTGTTAAAGCATCTCAGTATTAACCATTACCCAGTTGCTGTAGGTTTCATTTATGTGGATCCTCCACTTTAGCATGCCAGAGATTTTTCCAAGTTGTTGTGCAATAAGGCTTTGTAAATTATATTTTCTATATAACTTAAAAATTCTACCATATGCTTGATTTCCAATCCATCTTGAATCAGTAATTTAGCTCTTCCAACTGAGTTAAGTACAGTAATTTTTCATTTTTGAGACTGGCTTTTGCAAGAATGCAATGGGAAGACTTACTTTTGTAATGTGATGAACAATCCTCTGTTCAGTGCTCACTTTGCCTTAGTTTAGGACAAATTACTACAATGTTGAGACTTTTTACAAGAAGTCAACATTAAATTATATTGACATCTGTAAGTCCACGTGAGATCTGAGTCACGTGCCAATGTTCTGATCTTCTATTAAAAATAACAATGCCTAAAATGTATTAGTTTTGTTCCCTCCCTGGTAGCCCAACAGGTGAAGGCACAGCACTGCAAGCTAGCCACAGCCACTTCAGTGTGAGTTGGATTCCGCCCCTGAGGGAATCCACTCCACTTGGGTAACAGACCTCTCCTGACCACACCCCCCCTCCCCTCAGCAGTGTACTTCGTAGATCTGCCT